AAAATGAAATAAACGGAATTATCATTTATAATTAATGAAAATTAAAGCCTTTTAATGTTTAATATTTTATTTTTTTAATTTATGCTCAAATAAAGAGTACAGTTTGTTTAAAAAAATTTATAAATACATAAGTAGAGACACTATTGAATGTAAAGTAATAAAAAAGTAAAATAATATAAAGTCGAACAAACGAAAAATTTAAATATAAAAATATATATTTGATTCGAAAGTATTTAAAACTTCTACCATACCAATGGAGAAATAAATTAGGGTTATATTTAAAAAGAAAAATTAAATCACACGGATACATTTCAGAATCTTATTTGAAATTTCTCAAAAATAAAATTTCCTAAATTTAAAATCTTTTTTTATAATTGTATACGTATCTGTTACTCACTGTAAAGAATTAATTATTGTAGACTGCCAAAGTGTTAAATGTACAGTTTTTGGATTTATTTCAATTCTGGGATCTAAATACCTAACGTAGAGTGTAAATGTCCACGGAAAATTAGAATGCCACTCAAACACATAAATTTAAAACTTCTAAAAAATATCTTTATCTGATAACCCAGTTTGATGTTTAATGAGACGTCTGTTCGGAGATTCGTTCAAAAATAAATGATGGTACAACAAAATGGTTTGAAAAACAACGTTTTAATTTACCGATTCTGCAGGAGAACCGTGCTTCTTTTTGTAAAATGTAAACGAAGTATAAATAAAATAATATGTGTTAATAAAAATTTTTTTTAGGGGGGTAATACATATCAATTCATTTATAGTTATAATATTTGTGTACACGATATGTATGTTTGAATTAATCAATTATTTGTATAAGAAATAAAATAATTACCTTTTGGGTATACAGACTTCCTTAGTCAGTCATAAGAACGTATTCGTATCGGTCGCTTGGCCACCATTATAGACAGTGCCGGATTTAACCGTTGTGCCGCTTTAAGCACTAAATAATGTGCCGCCTTTCAATATAAATATTTTTGTATGAGTATTGTAAAAAATAGTGAAGGAATCATAATATAATATCTCTCATACTATGCTCAGCTCACTGCTGACAATAATAATTATTGTCCGTCTGCTCTTGACGCTCGCTATACAAAACAGTGTTCGGTTCCAATAAATCAATATAAAACTGTAAACATATCGTTGTTTTTTTGTTTTCCTGAACAGGATTTTCTTTTACTCACACGTAATAAATTGGAGATAAAAGGATTAAAACGATGCTGTTTTCTAAAAAAAAAAAAGGACAAAAAGCGTCCAGTTCAAAGTTTGTCGAGACGAGAGATACGAGAAAAAAGGACGATACCGTTATACACTTTTTCAGCACCCAATTAACACTGATCAACCATTTTTTCCTGCACAATCGTTATTGAATTCGTTTTTTTATACAATTTTTGCTCAGTATTATCTCAGTCTTTATATCCGAAACCAATTAAAATATGCAAAAAAATGAAATCCACAATCGACACTTGGTGCAGGTTGGTGGACTTACACGAAATCGTTTAACAGGTCAATAATTAATGGACTTCGCGTGGGCAAACGAGGAACGTTACAGTTTATATATGTCGCTCATTATATTTTTGAAAAGTGTTAGTGAGGGGTTGAAAAGGTAAAACTCAAAAAGTTACGGGGATGGTATAAATTCGCGATGATACACAAACGCGAGAGTGATTTCACAACTTTGACACGAAATCGGCAGTACTACGTCATTACGGGGGCTCGGATTTGTGTGCACTTAAAACTACTGCAATATGTATACATTTATGCACTAAAAAATTACGAAATATGCTAACAAAATATGAGCTAAAAATTATAAAATATGCATTTTTAGTCAATAAAAACACCAAAATACGCACAAAAAAATGTATTACAATTCACAAGACAAAAATATTATATTTTTATTACCCAGTAGTCATTTTCAAATATATATTTTTTTTTTACTAAAATTTAAAATACATTTTTCAAATGTACATAGTGTTTTATTTACTTTAATTTATATTATTGTTTATTATTTATTACATTATTAGCGTTACACTGTGCTACTATACAGTAATGATTCATTACTGTAAAAGTAGGACCGGTGTGTTTTTTTAAACGTTTTTACTTTTCTCGAAAACAATGACCGTGAAAGTGTGTGTCTCGGAGTGTATGCTTTCGGTCTCCCTGGCTTATTAAACTTCTACAACAAACACATAATAACGACGATCACAACATTATTATGCCAATATGTCTTGTAGTCCTTCAACGTCTTAGCATCTGGGTCATTCAAAGTTCGTAAATTTGATTTCGCAATAAGTGACCGGTATATACAATTTTTTATTTTTTATTTTATAATTAAATTACTAAAAGCTTAAATCCAAGCAAGAGACCATTTTTAAAAGTTCGTTGTAAGCTTGTATCGTATACTAGTAAATATAATAAATAGCCTACAGGGGTCGATTGATATTATAAAACCATATATGTACCTAATTTCTAACTAATAACCATCAGCATAGCAATTGGTATACCTTGGTTAATAAGCCATTCAAGCGAAATATTTCAAATTCGGAACACACTGTTGCTAGGTCCATATTATGGGTAACAAGTGGGCACCGTTAGAGATGGGAGTTAGAACATTTTTTTTTTCATTTTTTCATTGACATGTCCAGATGTCATGGTTCTTTTTAACATATTTTTCTTAACATAATCTCATTTTCGAGGTTGTACGGTTGGAGAGTTAATTTAATGTTTATTACTTAATATTAGTGATTAAACGAGTGTGGACATGGACTATAGTTAAAATATATACTCACCTATATATATATTAAATAAAACATATTTATCAATGATAAATTACTCCAGTAACACTGAATTGCGTTGTATTGAGGGTTTAAAAATTTCGGAAATTTAAAAATATTAGTGAAATATTTAATATATTATGTGTGAAAATTGTATTTTTAAATGTTGCAATACAACTAAACGCTTATACCCATACAAGAGACCATTTTTAAAAGCTCGTATACTAGTAATAATAGTAATAATAATCGTATCCCATAATTCGTATAATAGTAAATAATAAATAGCCTATAGGGCCCAAATGATATTATAAAACCATTTATATAAATAATTTACAACTAATAACTATTAACGTAGTAATATTGGTAAACCTTGGTTGATAAGTCATTTGTAATCGATCTTACTACATATAATCAATAATCATTTATAATCCTCTACAACTGAATATGCTTAAAACAAAAAATAAAATAAAATATATATATTTTCATAATTTTATTAAAATATTTAAAAAAGTGAAATGTTCAGTAAATATAAACTTAGTATTAATATAATAAACATTTCGAATTTGGAATACACTATTTCTAGATATATTGCTTGCATGTACTTTTCTATCGTTATTCTATTACAATTTAATTTAATTAAAAAAATATATTATTACTAATGTATCATCATATGTTGTACTCGAGCGTTTACAGGGCATCGAATCAAAAAAAATCAAAATAAATAGTTAAAACAAAACAAAAATTGTTGCTTCAATTATTTGTAGTTTGTACAGATACATATTATATTTTAAGGATTCTAAAAAGTCTTGAAGTATACTGTTAAACATTCATAAACAAAAATGATAATAGGATGAATAGTTTAAATTGAAATCGAAAACTTCTTAAACAATTATCGTATAAATCAGAGATCACAGTGCACAATACATTTATACTTGCGTAGGTTTTGTGTTATATTTCCTTTTAAACTAAATGCATATTTTATTTATTATTTCATTATTCATAAACATACGACTACGTACCTAGTTAGTGCTGCTTTCATCTGAATCTTATGAATTACAATTTCGACTTTTGTCAAAACAGACGCGTCAGAGGAGGTCAGACTTTCAGAGTATATATATTATTAATTCAAAGGATTATAATGTAGGTACTCAATATTGCATACAGAGTATAACAGAAAGACCTGACAAATTTAATAAACTTTAAATGCAATTAATAATTTTTAATTTTAGATTCTGAGCGTATAGTGAATGTATGTATTGATTTTGCAATTATTTGTTTTGTTTTTTCTGTCTGACATCAACAATTTGTAAGGGGAAAAATGCTTCAATTCTCGACATCAGCATCTCGCTGATAGAAGAGTGAAACGTGTTAGTGCCTTTGAAAGTTCACAATTCCTAGTAGTCTGTAAAAGAGTTCTGAAAAACAAATAAAAGCTTAACAAATGGCAGTTTTACGTAAAACTAATTTTTAGATTTTTTTGGTCATCCAAGCTCTATAGAGAGAATTATTTTAAATGTTGTCAATTTGTTTTAAATTATTTTGGATAAAAACTGTTTCACCTAGTACAAAAAAAAAATTGGAAATATAATGCAAAGTTCCTCTTGTCTTATGTAGAAACATTAAAGATCGGCACAATTATAATAATTTATACATGCATTAAAAGTTCAAACGTTGAACAAATTCATCAAAATCTTGACATTTTTCAAATTGATTTTCAGTTAGAAATTAGTAACTAATTTTGCATTCAAAAGTATGAGAAAAAATAGATTTCAACTCAATAGAACTCAATCAAGAATTACAATTAATTGATAATTTTAAGATATAATAGCGATCGCATTTATTTATAATAATATTTCGATTATTAATTCTGCGTATGTAAATTTAAATTTACAATGATTTTAATCAATGCATTATAATATTCTTTGTATAGTTAAGATAAAACGTGAGAAATTTAATTTATAAAAACATATAGTTTGCGGATTGTGCCTATAAAAAATTTTTTTTTGAGGGCATTATTTAAATAGCAATTTAAAAAAAACCTTTTTCGGGGCGTATTTGGTTATTATTTTAGAGCACAATTTGATTGTTTTTAGGGAATTCAAATCTGGTCACCAATAATAATGTGTATGGAAAAAAATAGATTATTAATTATTATTTTACACGATCTTTGACAATCTTTTTTGATCAATAAAATGTTGGTTTCTGTTTCAGCATGGCGTCGGTGTCGAATTCGTTCGGTTTCTACCAGAAACTCATCCACCGGTACTCAGCAACGTTTTTTGTGAACTAGGAGTGTGCGAGAACGTCGTAAGTGTACTGTTTAATTGTGTTAAGATGATATAGGTATACATTTTTTTTCATAACTTTTTTGAATTACAATGATAAAAAGATAACATTATGCAGCACTTTATGGCATGTCGTTGGGCGTTTGAGCCACGGCGTATAAAAAAAATATATTATTTGCTGAGTGTCCCTCGGTCCAACGCGGTGATCAGTTTTATATGCACGACGCTTAAGTCTTCTTTTTCTTTTTTTTATATATTATATAATTACACAAATAACATTTTATTTATACTAATTATTATACCTGTCTATGCAGAATTTGTTAACGTGATAATTACATATGGTTGCGTGTTTTGATTGTTTGAACATAAATATTCACGCATCGTACGGCTTTTTAGAGTTTTCCATTAAATAGCACAGGCATAAAAATGTATTAGTAATTAAAAAAATTATATTCCTATGTTTCACGTGAACTATATGTCTATATGTAAGTAACAGGTACGGTGAATCTTTCGTGTGTGACAATACAAACACATTTTAATATCTGAATATCAGGTGTAATAATATATACTGTTATAATAGTCAGTTATTGGCTGAGGATGCTCACACCCATTTTTTCTTTTCATAATACATCCGATACATTAAATTCCGACTTTTGTAGTCTTTAAAAATACTCAAATACCGTTTTTGTGGAACTTAAAAAGTGTACTCTGTGGCGATACAAACGTATGTTTTTTTTTTGTTTTTAAATAAGAAACATTTTCAGAAACATGATCCACCAAAAATTTTACTGCCAAAAGTTGGGGTTTCATTTCAACAAGAAAATTAATTTGTATGTCCACAGGAAACACCTTGTGTAGTACGAACAATTTCAAACATGTTAAAATAAGATGCTTATTTACATTTTAAGATTGAAAAAATCAGATTTTGAATAGTTGCATTATTAAAGCAAAAAATAAAAATACCGTAAGCGTGCTTGATGAACCTCATCTTCTCAGTAAAGTCGTTGTGCTTCTCGTTGCTGACAAGATGACTATTGAGTATTATGATTTTATTTTCATTAAAAATTTCCAGTATATTGATATGGTTGTGGAAACAATATATTATTATTTTTTTTTTAATATAGAAAAGTGAGTACCTCTATGCTGTTCAGTAGTTGTCGAGTACCTACCTATGCCATTATAATGGATGTGTTATATTTAAATTCAATGATAAACCAGTAAATAAGAAAAATGATTCCGAGCGGAGATGTTGTGTTATTTAAACATACTTGTGTAAATAATCAAAATTAATAACTAAAATAAAACTTATAAAAATTGAAAATATCTTATGACTCTATATAGCTTACCTAACTTTCGAAGAATTTTGTTTTCTTTGTTAAAGAAAGAACAATTAGTGAGGAATCTTCTATTCTATTTTTTTTTTTTAAGACAATTGGAAAAAAAATGATTTCTATGCATTTCTAACTGGAAAATAACTTCAAGATTTTCAAGATTTTGATGAATTGTTGTCAAAATTTGAGCTAAAAAATAATTATGCTTTTTAACTTCCATTAGAAAAAACTTATGAGGAGCCTTGCATTACACTTTCAAGTTTTGTACGAAATTATAAAGTTTTATCGAGAAAACTTTTTAAAAAATTCGAAAAATGTATCATGGCTACACAGAAAGTTTAAAAAGAGTCTAAAAATTTCGAAAATCTTACAATGTTTGGTAAATGCGAATAAATGTTAATGATTTTTGAGAGTTTTTTTTTTGCTTTTCTGGTGCTTTTTAAAACTACTTTGAATTTTCAATTTTGACCTCTTAAAAGTAAAAACTAGATTTACTTTTCAATCATGAAAGATGATATTGTTGAAAACCATAGTATACCTCAAATGTTGATGAAATTCAGGAAAAAACACACATGCCACTGTAAATACGATACATTCAGTGCTCCCATCAGAATCTAAAACTTCATTAATTCTGTCAACATTTTTTTTTTTGATTTATTGCAATGTGTAACCATGTGTTTTTAAAACTACAAGTCCGTTGTCTGGTTGTATTCTGCTATACATAAACATAAATAAATTTTGAGTTATAAAATAATGAACACAACTTGTAAGTAAGCTGTTTTATGTTTTTGCCATAAAAATATATCGCTTGGTGTGAATCGTTAGTACTCAACTACCTATCCAAGTTTTACTTAAATTTTGAACTAGGTAATATGTATGTTCTTAGGACTGGTCATAGACCGACAATCAGGACTTTTAATTTTTTGGACCTAATGAATCGGACCGGTGTCAAATGACACCTAGTCAATTATCTGCTGCAACAGCAAATAAATTGGGTTCGATTAATACCCAGTTCAGGGGGTCGGAAATGAAGTGTTTTTACGAAAAAAAACATGTCTTAGAGGAAAAACTCCATTTCGTTATTAATTTTCTTTCAAATTTAAAAGAAGAGAATTTTCGCAGGCCAGATCAAGGTCCGATTCTAAAATTCATAGTTGTAGAAGCTGAAATATTAATTTGAATAATGCACACTATTTGTTATTTTTCAAAATTGTTTTCCCCCTATTCAAAGTAAAATAATAAATCTGACTTTCATCTGACCTAAAAAATTTGCAGTCTTTCAAGTAAAAAAAAAAAATATCAATTATTGACGTATCAATAAGGAGTGAGGGTTTTTTTCTGTGAAATCATTTTTGTTGATATATTATACACTGTATCACCTCTCTCCCATTAAATAGTCATCGAACAGTGGATTGGAGGAAAAGTACTATAATAAAGTTTGCAACTAAAAAATAAAATATTGTTTTCGAATTGTATACTTTGTTGAAAATTTGAAAAACCAACACCGACACCATTTATAAAAAATAATTATCCTGAGACCTTGACACCGACTAAACGGTTCGACACGATGAGGTTTCATCCGATAACGTACAAATATCGTTTATATTTGATGCAAATGTTTGTTTGTTATGTACTTATGTCATATAAAAGTAAGTACGATACGGTGTCATACTAGAGTAATAAAAATTAAACTAGTGTAAAAAATATCGACAGCTATACTGTCTCGTTCGGATTAAGGTTTAAGTCACCTTTGGACTTGGCCCCTCTGTGATATCCGTCGTCTAAGGGATGGTCCTGGAAAAGATTAAAAGATTTTAGTACAATTGTATTTTTATTCTTCGGTAAATTAAAGTTCAAATTAGATACATTTCTACTTCTTTGAAAAAATGTTTATTTCTTACCATTTTTTTTTTTGGTTATGATTTGTTTGTTTTTAACTTTGTAGAGTAGTACCCCGCGCTTCACTGAGCATCTAAACTTTTGATTTATGTTACTTAAGTTAACTAGTCCTTCGAAATTTTATTTTTGTTTATTGCAAATCTCAAAAAAGTACTTTGTTTTGAATGAAAATGTTAACTGTCATACAAAAAGGTAAACGATAACAATAGAAAAGTTAAAAAAAACAATGAAAATATTAAAAATATTACTAATTTTTGAGGGATACCTAGCGTTTGCTTATAAAAAAAAAAACACGGGCTTATTAACGTTCAAAAAATAAGCCACAATAAATTAGATAGTTTACTGGAAAAAATAAGAAAGAACCAATCATGGATCAAGAAAATTGTGAATGTCAGTATAGGTATCCATTTGTAGTTATAATACCAACTATCAATATTCTTATAATATGTTAACGTTTATCTAGAGCAGTAGTTACGTATTACCAAATCTGTGTCACCAAAAAAAAAAAATCGTTTATTTATGTTGTACAAAGTATAATATTATGAAAATATTCCCATTTTCAATTTACATACAGATTTATAATTATTGTTAGGTACGTTTTCAAAAACCGATTATTGCTTTTAAGCAAGTCAACATTTTTATGTATCTAGATTAGGATGTCGTTGTAAATAAAAAAGTAGAGAAACACTGTTCTAGTTCCAATCGCTAATCGTCCAAAAATCACTGTTTATATAATTGTTTTGGTAACCAGTTAGGAGTTGAAGTCGTTTTTCTATTTTTTTGAAACTATTTCGTGTTAAATAAGCTTAAGAAACATCACTTATAATTAGAATGCAGTTGACGCAAGCATTAAAATACAACTACAACATTTTCCAACTAATTTATTTAGGTACTATTTTTTCGATTTTTTAATTGAATTTTTTTTTTTTGTTTTTCTAACAAACGATGAGAAAAAAATCTTTCCAAAAACAAAGTAACCATAAATAATTGCCAAAAAACTAAGATACAACAACTGCAATCCGAACATATTATCATAGGTATTTGTATGGTTTTTTTTATAAACTGTGGAAAGTAATGCAAAAATAAGATGTAAATTAAATTCAAAAGAAAAATATTTGTATAAAATGTTATTCAATCAATATTATTGAAATATAATTGTAATATTATAACATACTTAAAAATAATATTTTTAAATATCGAATACACTTACAACAGTTTTTTAGTGTTATTTTATTTTTGCCTTACATTTATTTGAGGTGGATCTACACAAAAATATTATGGTCTTAAAATGAACTTCTTAATCGTATGTCGAACCAAACAACATAGTGTTATGCCAAACTCGAAACCAAACATTTCATTTGTTCCATTGCATTATAAATGTGTTAAATAAATAATTCCAAAAAAAAAAAGTGATAACCGCGGTCCAGATAATATCAATTTAATTTTTGGAATGTTAACATAAAAAATTAAAATAATACAACTATGGAATGAACTCTATTCAACCGTGAACTTTAAAAATAATAAACAAGTACCAAATTCCAAATTACTCGATGCATTAGACAATAGAGCAATAGACTAGATTGACATTTATAAGGAATAATTTTATTGAGGGAGGTATTTTTTTTTTTTAATCCGATACGTTTGACAATATCGATTTTATTTTTTGGAGTTTGTGCATTTCCTTGTAGTTTGGATTAATTATATAATTTTAAACTTTTTGTTCGACTGGGGTTTAGTTTTAAGCTTAGTTCGTCTTTCAAACTCGAACCGAAAACCTGAAGTCCGATTTAATTTTTTTGAACTTTGTACTGTTTAACCAACCTCTAATATTTATCGTTGATATTAAGATAATTTTTTTGAATCCCAAGTAACCTCAATAACTCCAAGTTATATAAAATGGGATATCGGTTATCAGTTTTCCAACTATTGGCTTTGTATCGTGGTATCCCGTTATGTTTAGCCTGTGTTGTCCTCTGTAGTGCAGTTGTAGGTAGTGGACGAAATAGTCATTAATTTAACTTTTGCAATAACAATTACGGAATTCAATATTTCTGTCTGCGAGTTTATTTTAAACATTGTAAAATTACAATTCTGAAAGTTTCCCAGGCTAATAATAATTACATTCGTTATAACTTACATATTTTGTTAATAATAGTTCTGGTGAATGGACTGCCATTGCATTGTGACGTAATCGGTGTTGAAATATATGCGAGCCGACTTTATGTTATTATTAGTAGGTACCTACGGACCTATATCGACTAATATTATAACTTGAATCGGGTACTAAATATAGCCTAGTTATTATTGCTGCACTCGTTGCAGACAATGTATGTTTCGATGTTTTTTGTTTTGCACTAATCCGCGTACACACACACACACACACACACACACACACACACACACACACACACACACACACAAATAACAAAAACACCGGAGTAGCCGCCGAAAACCGGTAACCGCAGAATTCAAGCGAATAATATAATAATTAAAAATTGCAACTATGACAATATTATTACCTATATAATACCGTTTATTGTAAATTTGTTGTGCAGACGATTACCTGTGACTGCGACGCAACGCCGGCGATGCAGTTGAAGGCGATGCGACAGAAGGGCGACAAAGTGGACGTTTCTCATTACCGAGTGAACGTGAACAAGTTGCAGGCCCGGTTGAACATATCGTGCGACACCGGCAAGAAGAGGGGACAAATCAAATTCGACGGATGGCCAAAAGTATTTAGACGGTGTTCGTCCTTAAATTAGACCTTTAAGTACACAGTACACGCATACGCCACACACGTCATAATGACGTGTCCTCAGAGAGGATTGCCCGCAGACGATGAACATTGCAGGCATGGAGGGCATTGAACAAGTCTTGCGGGTCTTGAAAGCTTACTAAATACGTCTCACATGATATTATAACGTGACCTGGGCTTAACCTCCCCCCTCCCCAATCACGAAAGTTCAGAGCCTATTATATTGTATAGTTGTTCTGCGAATAGGATTAGTAAGTGCAAAATGTCAATAAGGTTTTCAAGCAAAAACATCACATATAGGTAGATCGTTTGATTTCGTTAAATAAATATTTAATACGTCACAAGGGCATGTACCTGTTGCCCCCAAAAGTACCTATTTTTATACCAAATCCCCCCAAACTACCTAGAGGAAAAAGTACCAGTTGCCCTCAACCAAATGTACCAGTTGCCCTTACATGTTAATATATACACAAATACAATATAGCTCGTAAAATAGGGGAGGTAAATATACAAATCATAAATAAAATATAAAATTCAAAATTATAATAATATAAAATAGTACAAAATATAATAATTTGTCAACGTATAAATAGTATAAAATTCAAAAGTATTATGTTTTGTTATAATAATTATTAACCAATTTTACAAAATCTAATCTGCTAATATTTTTGTTTTTATATTTATTTTATCGGATACAATAATTGACGGATTGAATTCAAGTTCAAAGCCAGAGCATTTTTCTTTTAACATACTAAATGACAGTTCATACGTTTTCGATGATTATATCCACTCGGACGCGTCTAAAATTACATGTTATGTTGACAAATTATTATAATTTTGAATTTCATATTTTATTTATGATTTGTATATTTACCTCCATTATTTTACGAGCTATATATTGTATTGTGTATATGTTACGGGTACAGTACAAAATATGGTTAGTGTTCACATTATCCGGGTAATGTGTACACTACCTGGTACCTATTGGATAAAGTAAAAATACTATTTATAAAACGTTTATTTCGTACTTGACTCGGGTATTTTACACATTATCTACGATTGAGTGGGTAAAGTACTAATTAAGTGTATAGTAAAATTGTTCAAATATATAATTTATAGTTTAATAGTGATAATAATAAATAATTTATTTTTGAATTAGTATGATTTGGTGTTCGCTACTAGAAAGACTTTGTATAATCTGTACCATTTTAAGTGTTCGATGCGTTGGTCGTGTTGTACCGAAGTTATAAGTTTACGATTATAGTTATACCAATACATTATGCACAGCACACCGGATAATGTATAAATTGATTGGATACTACATATTTAAGGTGGATAATGTATACATTACACTGTTCGTATGGATGAGGTTCACATTACCCGGGTAATATGTACACTACCCGTTTTTGTACTTCACCCGTAACATATATAATAACATGTGAGGGCAACTGGTACATTCAATCGGGGTCAAATGGTATATACTTTTAAAATCGCGATAATAGCCGCGGGGGGCAACTGGTAAACACCCCGTTACAATTTCGTTGTGTTCTGTTCAAACGTGAATATAGTGTAAAATGTACACCGTTGTATGTCCTCCTCGTTAATTTTTGAAGTTGACGTAGATCTAAGTCAAAACTCGAACCAATGCTTTCAAAGTTATCTAGAATGTTTTCATCTAGGTATGAATAAGGATAACAGAAATTAATAATGGTTTTAAGGAGAAATAAAAAATATAAGTAGACACTATTGGATCAGGTATCTTTAATATTTGTACAATTTTTCAAAAACGATAACTGTTGTTAGATTAATATTAATTAGGTACTTGATTACTTGAATGCTTAAAATTTAAATCATTGTTGCACATTTTGTACTCATACTTTACAAACCTTACTGATTTATTATACTTAGCAAGAGCACAAAATTGAAATAAATCGAAAACTATTCACTCAAATATCAATGTTCATACGATCAAATTAATTAACTTACAATTAAAAGGGGAAAAGGGATAAACTAGTTTAAAAAACTAAAAAAATTATATCCACAGAACACTAAAAGAAATAAAAAAAGTTTCCTGATGTATTAATAGTATTCAGTCTTTAAGTATAATTAAAAAAATCCAAAAATTAGATTTTAAATTACTGCATTATTGAAGAAGAAAAAAAGAATCAATGTGCTTTTAGAATCATTCTAAATAAAAACCTATAATAGTACTCGTTGAAGTTCGTTTTTTAATTTCATAAAATTGAGTTGAAAATTTAAATTATCCGTAGTATGTACAAGGTGTAACAAAATTACCGGAAGTTTCTGAAATGTATTTTGTTCAAACCATTAATAAGTTAAAATTTTTAAAATTATTTTTGTATACAAATATTATCGTTGCTTGTGTTACAAGTACAGTTTAAAAGTTTTGATTTTTGTATTTAAATACTGCAAATGAAAATTTAACTATATTCAATGTTTGAATACAATATTTAGAAAAACGTTGACAGTAATAATGTTTTTTGAGTCAAGTAGTTTATTTTTAAAATGTTTGAAATTAATATTTTTGGGGGCTTTTAAATTCAATATCTGTATAATATTCATGATTTTTTTAAAACTTTGAACTTTTTTATCAAACTTTCATTTTTAATTTGTCAGGTCTTTCTGTTACATCCTAGTTTGCGTATTTATTGATATTTATGCACAGAATGTTTCATTTAACCTAAAATACTCATCATTTCACATCAATTTTTTAAATATTTTGTATCCTGCTAAATTGTTAAGCTTTTACTTTTTTGAATGTCAACATACAGTTTTAATAACACCATCCAAAGAATTTTTTTTAGTATTTCGATACATAAAAATCGAATTTAGGACGACTATAGTTTATGAGTTATAGTTATTTAATTTTTCCATGAACGGACTAGTGGATCAACATTTTGAGGATAATCACGTACTACTCCACTCAACTCATCAAAACTTTAAATACTCATAGACCATACACTATTCAGCCTAAATTCGATTTTTGTGAATCGCAATACTCAGAAAAATATATAGTTTTGGAAGGTTGAAAATATGAAACTAAAACTGTTTTGTTATTAAAAAAAAAAAATGAACAGCTTAAAAAAAAATTAAATTACAAGATTACAAATTATTAAAAATTTAATTTTGATAACTACCTGAAACTATGTCGAAAAAATGTTTTTCAAAAACGTTTATTCTTTTTGAAATAATGAGGGTTTAAGGTTAAATATATCACCCTGTATGTCGCATAATAATATCTGTTCATATTACACTGCAATTCAATTATACTCGAACACATTTGAGACCTGTAATAATACAATACAGTATATTATTTTTAATTTATTCGACATTTCAATGACTTAACCTCTAGTTTACGGTTCTTTCTTAATTATTTGTGTTTATTTAAAATCGAGTGCTTACTTCTGTGCATTTCTGAACTTAAACGCGTGTCATTAAAGCGAACATTTCTATGAAACTTTACTATAATAGGTATTTCATGTACTAATGAATGAAACTTGACATACATTTCAATCGTAGTAGGTATGCAATCCATCGACTGTTGTATTGATTTTTATAATTTAAAAGTATTTTGTTTTCTGTGATTAATCACATTAATCACGGTAAAAAAATCATATCGAATTCATTGGAACCGGGGTTCTCTTATTATTACTATACATATCTTTTATTAATTTATTTCAAAGACATTTTTTATATTCATATTATTATAACCGTGTTAATTTCAAATTAAAATTTATTTTTTAATGGTTCTTATTCCGAGCAGCTGTTTTTCTAATAAGTCGGTTTTCGTTGAAATTGTGACCAACCGAGTGAAAATCGAGTTTAGTATGTGACCTACCTGTACCAGGTAGGTTTTGTACGACGTGACCTACCGCGAGACGAAACACAATAAATGTTATATTTGAGCTTGCTTATTTTCACAATTTTTTGTGTTATAAAAAATTACTGCACTTTATATATAGATAAACGTCGTCCTACTTAATTATGTTTGAAAGTTATCTCACGGACTATATGAAAATATTAAATAACACAATATTATGGTTTTGAATTTTAAATATTTCACTTTACATTTTGTAATTGAAATATTTCAATGAAATTATCAAACATATTTTATTTTATTTCAACCGTATTTGGTTATAGATTATTATAGATATTATTATCGTTGAATATATATATATATATATAAGTATATAACATATCGAATATGAACCACTATATAATTATTAGATAAAGTTCGAGAATTACTGTGTTAATGTATATAAATTAGCCACACATTTACTATATTATTATCGATTAATTTATCACTATAATGGAGTCTATGTGTGGCTATTATTTGTTAATCATACAGTATTAGATAAAACAAACCGACTTTTAAAAATGTTCTTTTGCTGTAGGTTTATGAGTATACAATTTTAGATATAATACATCATTTTATTACATTTGTATTTTTTATATAAATGAAATAATCCAAGAAAATGAAATTATCGTAAAGTATACATAATGCAATCGTGTAAATAACTGTACAAATATTAGAATTTAATGCAGTTTACTGCAATGACATAACTAGGTCAAATTTCCATTTGAGTCGTAAATATTCAATATAGTAACCTAATTAATTTTCGGCAAAATAAGGATGCTGACATTTCTATTTTCACACTTTCGGAGCATAGAACATTTCTTCAGCCCGTCAACGTATTTTTGAATTTGTCCAAAAAATACTACCACAAAAATTTCACACTAATTAGTGGCGACAATACAACGTTATTCAACTTTGTGGAGTGCAGAGATATTGTTAAAATGTGCGTACTAACATCTCAATTGTCAATGAAGCAGTGGGTTATAGAATTCTGTGATAGTAATATCATTATGTATACTATCGACAATAATTATTATCAGTATAGATTTGATCGTTGGGTCAAAAAAAAAATAAACGAATTATTGGTAGTTGAACTTTATGAGATTAACCAAATCAAAAAAAAAAAGTTAAAGAATTTTTACGAATACACAAACTTTAATAGCAAAATAATGAAACGAATTCTTGCAAACAATTTCCATAGTGATAAAAATAAGCTTTAGAAAAAAACCATCGTTCACCGGGCAAAACCTCTTGGTACCTATAGTAGATCATGTGGTCTGGTAGAAGGTCACTTATTATTATTCAACGATTACCCTTTAGTTATACTAGTTGATAACATTATGCGGAAACCACTTAGGTTAATATAATTAATTATTATTCCTTTACTGCCGACATTGACGAAAACTGTGTTTTTAAATTTCAGATTAAAGTTGCACTGGCCCAAGTTGGATACATTAAAAGCAAAACGATGGACGAAGTACAGCTGCAAGACGTCATTTTGGACATTGTTACCGGCGCCATTAGATCGACAGACCTTTCGGTCGATCTGTACCGGTGGTCAGAGTTTCCGAATTTCACGAAAAGCCATCAGCAAATAACCACTTCGCCGTTAGACTCGTACACTGATCGAATGGTAGGTACCTACAAACTGGGATTTGTCCATACGGAATTCTACCGGAATTCTAAAACTGTATTTTGGAGCGAAATAGACCTGCACGACTTACTGACTTGAGTTTTACCCCGATATCGATTTTAAATTTACTATGAAGTTTATTTTGAATCTTTCGAGTCAGAATTATAAAACAAATTTAAAACTGTCTTTTCGCCCTTATAAGTTTTTAAAAATAACAAAATGTTTTTTTCTAAATTCCAAGTAAGATTTTTCACGTTAAGAACGATAAACTAAAAATGTGGCTCAAAGGCTCCAACGTAGACATAACACCAAAGTAAAATTTGTTTTAAAAATTATTCTCCTTGTGAAATTCAAGTCAGTGCGTTAGAATGGAATTCCGTTAATTATTACTATGCCGGATAATCCTTTGAACTCAAGACACTGACATATTTTTATTACATAGTTTTAAGTCTTTACAAAACCACATTACAAAGCAAAAATGTATATATTTTTAATAATTTATGTTCGTGTATTATTTCTTTTAAAACGTTTACGTTTTCGAATGAATCATTACAATACACTTTTAATTTCGTATTCTACTCTATAGGCTACTCTTCCGAAATTCGATTTTCATTTATTGAAATACTCTGGAAAATATTTCGACATGTTATATGAAATTAGAACTATGAGTTGTTATTCAAAAAAGTACAAAACTCAAAAAACTATAAGAATAAGACACATTGTTGTTTTGCAAAATCTCGATACGATGTAATAAAAATATTTTCAAAATGTTGTACTTGCAATTACATTTTTATGAAATAAGAATACGTTGGGAAATATCAAAATGGATCACCTGCTGGCGTGGGACAGGGCCGCAGTAATGTTTTGGCCCCCTTGGTATACGTGCGGTAACATTATTGAGAGCTTTAAACACTATGCATCGCCTATGTAATTATTATCATGGTTGGAATCGGAACGAACATTTTCGAAATAAAATTCTCGCCGTGTACGATAATAACGATGAACTGCGGGACGCAGGATTTGTTATGAGGATAGAGGATGTCATTTGAATCCATTGAAGTTGCGCCCGAAACAACCTTTCTCTGACAAGATGAGTGCGTTTAATAGTCATTATGATACTACTACATGTGACTAATTATACCAGACGTTTTGGCACGATTCAATATCCTCAGAATATATTATTATTCTAATAAAATTAGGAGAACTAAACATACAGTTTTAAATGTCGTACAAAATACTTTCATATCAATTCAAATCATCATTATTGATATCAATTAAAACATTTATAAATATTAAATCATTACATTATTACACCGGGAACTCGTGGTAAAAAAAAAAAAATTTGTTTTCAGCTTTTAAAATGCAGTTAATTGCAATGATTATTAATTATGTTACTAGATGAGAGTCAATGGTCCTTTCAAAAATTATTTATAACCCGATTCAAATTAAATACATAAAAAAAACAGTTATTATAAAATTATCGAAATGTAGTTTATTCATTGATTTTAATACAGCTAATTATTAGATGAACTGAAATCTTTACACTTCACTTTTGTTTCAGATAATTACATTTTTAATAAGCTTATAACCACTATTAATTCTCATAAATTAGTTTATTAATTTTTTAAATATAATTACTGCTTAATCAGATAAGTACCTACTCAATATTATTATATTACATTAGATATATAATTTGTGTGTATGGGAAAATGGATGTTATGATATCATTTCAATATTTGAATTTTGATTTTAAATCTCACCACTTAATTTATAAAGGCAATTGTACCACTCTTAAAAATATATTCTAAAAAATGTTGTGCGTTGTAGACGTTTTTTAATCAAAATACTCGTATACATTACGTTTTGTCTTTTGAGAAATAATATGTATTATTAAAATTAAACTGTACTTAAATTCCAACCAACTTTGATGTATTATAAAGTTTAATGTATTTCAATACCTTACCTATCAAATTAATGTTCTAACGATTAATCAATTTTTTGGAAAAAAGTTACAAATTGTTGTATTCATTATTTATTATTTTAGATTCTGCGAGATCAGAGTTTTGGTATATTATTGGAAAGAAATAATAAACTCTGTTTGTTTGTATAGGTACCTTCGTCTTGTTCAATAACGTGGACACATTTTTCTTTCAATTTATTGTAAATATTAAAAGCATTTACTCTTTTCATGCAGTCAGTCAGAGGGGTTGGAATAGCTGGACGACTTTTCCCAGTTCTCTGTACATTCATTTTCAAAGAGCACTTATATTTGATGAACAAACCTGTGAGTTTTCTATGCTAGATATTTCATCACGAATTATTTTCAACGGCTTTTCATACACATTTTTTGTCGTTTTTCCGTTGTACAGCTGTACGGGTCTGTTTCAGTTCATTTTTCAGGTCATCGTTATTCTTTTTGTGTAGATGTTCATTAATATTCGCACGAAGTAACATTCAGTTGTATCACTGTTTGCATTAATCGTTTAAAAACATTCATTTTTTACTTACCACCAAACTATGTCATCTAAACTTCTGTTAATTCTAAAGAATCGAAAATTATAATCACCGAGGGTTACCTTTCGTAGTAATTCCATCCGTTTTTAAAAATATTTTACACATTTTTATACTTAATGTAAAGTTTCAAATAATGAAAAAAAAAGTTACTACGATAAAAAAGTGCAATTTTGAATAAGTTGATTGAAGAATTTCTTCACATCCATAATTTCTATACTTCAATTCAATATTTTCGAATTTCCGTATCCTGCACAGATACAAATCTTTGTTTTTCAAACAAAAACCTCCCTTTTCTACTGTACATTTTTCTATCATTTTTTCTGATAATTTTTCTGAAAATGTAGGCGTAACTAGTTCAATGTTTTTATCAGTAGCTTTTTAGTTATTTAACGTTTTGTACTAAGGATAACAAGTAAATGATTATGGGTATCAATGAAAGTATGGGAGCTAAGGCGTTTTTAAAATTGTAATGTCAGCAAGGAAATACTAGATTCAATATAACACCTAGTTTATGTTTTGGTACAACCACTTTTAAGGACCATTATCCTTAGTATAAACATTTTAATAACTAAAAACTACTGCTTAAAATTTTTAATTGGGTAATTCAAAACTTTCGAAAAAATTATCCCCTGAAAAATGTAAAGGAGATTCTTATTCGAAAAATAAAAATGTGTATATTACCTCCTATAAAGTATTACCAAAAATTTCAATAATTGGAAAAAAATGAGCTTTGAGTTAATTTAAAACTTCAAAAAAACACAATATAAATGAACGCAATGTTGAATAAAAATGGTATGAATGCTTGGTGAACCATCGGGTATCACGATGTCGTTATCGATGATCATAAGCCGGGATTAAAATTAATAGTTATAATATTTGCATAGCAAGGCTATGGTTATATGGGGAAAATCAGTGTGAGTTTGTGTACCACTCGTTTATAGTCCATTGTTTGGTAATTATTGGCGACGCCCACCATTACTGCGCCTGTAAACGAAATGATAATAATAAAAAGATGTTTAAAAAATACATAAATTATGAACACAAACTTATTTAAACTCATTTAATTGTCACATCCATGATATAGGTAAGTCCGAAAATAGAATCAACGGTCATGAAGCAAGGAGAGAAAAGATTGATGGTTAAAGTCATAAAAGCGATTGGACTCGGACTCAAACAAGGTTAAGCTAAGCGGTTACATTTTTTTTTTTAACACATTACCAAATAAGTTTGTCTAAATGAATATTTTGTTCGAACGCCTTTTGTATTTGTTCGGCGTAGGGTGTCATGAACCGTACTGCGTGATCGAAGTCGACGACCCATTCCAGAAGAAGCAGACTTCGACGAAGAAGAACACTTCGTCGCCACAATGGAACGAGAATTTTATGTTGTAATTACAATTATTTTCTTATCTTTATATTATAAAACATTGCCGTTTACCTGGTGCAGCAGCCGTGCAATGGTTCAAATCCCGACAAGCGATGAGCAAAATTCCCGGAAATTTATTTACGGAAAATTCTCCGAGGAAATTCCCAAGAATATTCAAAACATTAGGAATTTATCGGGAATGTTGTATTTTTTTACATTCTATTGTTCTGAATGCGTTTCAATGAATGTAATTAATTATATTTTCATAGTTGTAAATAATCCGAAAAACAAATATTTTGTACTCTTAAATATTACAGGAGAATATAGGAAGACTTAGAATTTCGAAAACATTTATATTTTCTCGATATTTGAATCAAGTTTTATCTCAAATATTTTAGTTTAATTATTTTGTGATTATTTTGAAAATATTAAAAATCTATTTCACTGATAATGTTTAATATTTTAAAATATTCTAACAACATTAATCAAATATTTTCATTCTCTGTGTTAATATTTTCACAATATTTTGAAAATATTATTTTACTATGTTTATATATAAACTCCAAAAACGTATTTAATTTGTTTCGTTGGTAAATCTAATTCTAGTTATACACTTAAATATCAGTTTTCAGTGTAACGATATTCTTTTAAATAATGAAATCATTATCTTATCATAATTATTATTCAAACTGCCGAGTACCGTAGTTCTACTCGTACTTGTACGATTACTTTTTTTAAAGAACTTTCCCGAGAGGCAGAGATATGATATTTTGGGAATATTCCTCGGGGAAAGTTCCTAGTTTCACATCACTAACTCTGGCGGTTCGTAATATTGTATTTGGTTGTTTTAAGCACACTGAACCGGACGACAGAGGAGATATTGTTCGAAGTGTACGATTGCAACCCGAACGGTGGAAATCAGTTCATGGGCTTGGCTATTGTCAGCGTCGAAGAACTGCTAGTCAACCCTTACCAGAGACAAGTGCTGTCGCTCCAGTCGCGACCGTATCAAGACGATTCGGTGTCCGGCACTCTCACGTTGGAAGTGAGTGTTACCCGCATTATAAACCAGCACGACGAAGTTGATTTTTTTTACGTCGTCCGTAAAACATAGAACTTATTGAAAATGGTACCACAAAAATATCGGCTTACTAACGATACTGGTAGATTGTAACTATACCATTTATTTTTTTGGGATCAGTTCTGGCCCTATCGCTCAAATAATTAATTTTGAAAATCTTTTTCTGATTTTTGCGAAATATAAATTAGGTTCTTTGTTTAAACTGGTAATCCAACGGATCGGACCTTCGTTTTTCGGTTATTATCTCACAAACTTTAGTTTATACATACGCAAATATTAATATATACTCCATGGCTCTATGCATATCAAAATAAAATACCTACTTCGTACTCCAATAAACTAATGATTTAAATTTTAAGATTTTACGAGCAATAAATGGCTTTAAACAACAATGATATCATGTCATCGAATCACTGTTTATACTACAGAAAAAAATTGTGCATAGGAAAACAAAATTAATATTAGCATTGTGTAATGACAAGGTGGTTTATTGACTATGGCTAATTTGATTTGCCAATATCGACATTTTAGTCATAGCGGGTAATGTATTATTTATTTAGTTGGATATTACATAATAATATTAAAGAACAGAAAAAAAATGGCACTTTGATATTTGATAATGTTATAATGACTATATACAGTATTATTGTGTTCACCGATTGCGTTTCGATGTTTTAGTATTTTCGATGATTTAATGTGCAGGAGCTCTATTGTAAAATCGTTTTTATTTTACTTAAAAATTGCAATACATTTCATTCATTGTTCACAGCCGTTCTTTGCGGTACAGCGAGTCCTTTTAAAAATAATTTGTCACATTCTATTTCATATTTTTCTTTTAAATATTCTACATTATTACATCCCATGTCCACAATGCATTCAAATTAAAAACTCGATCCAGCAACCTCAGTTATTTAGATACCTTTATAAATTTGTTTAATATTTTCAAATATTTGTTACAAATTAGAATATTATCGGTAAACAATTACTCAGGTAGGTACCTACAATCTACTCATGTAGAGTTAGAACTCAACTTTTTTGAGAATATCTTGTTTTGATACATAATTTTAAGTTGTTAAAAAACAACATATTTTTTCATTTAATTCCACTTTTTATAAAAGCTTAGTTTTGGATTGTAAAACTTTTAGAAAAGCTATGTTTTAGAAATCCAAGTATTATAAAATCATTGTTTTAGAATACAAAACTTTTAGAAAAGTGTGTTTTGGAATATAAAATGGTTTAAGAAAAATGTGTTATTTTGTTACTCTCATCAAGTTGTATTTAGTTTTTACGAATTACCAACCATTGACGTGTATCGGAACACACGACTTTCTAAATTTAGTTCAGTGTCATAAGACATAATATGGGTAGGTATTTCATAATCATGTAGTACGATTAGTTAAATCTAAAACGATTAAACTGTGTGAAGTATTAATAATTTTTAACGTTGAATAAGGCGATGGTATCAACTAGGTTAATCGCTTTTTATTCAGTTTGTTTTTTACCTGGGTAATGAATGCTGCAGCAAAGTCATAACAAACAGATATTACCGTTAACGCGAAATTACGTACCACCTATAATACTCTTGCAAAGTACATGTTTCATTATACTACAACCACGGTGAAGGTATTTTTCCTACCCTTTAAATTTGTTTTTTTATAAATAACAATTAAAATAATTTAATATCGTATTACATATAAACGCATACGATACAGGGTAGTACAGAGTGATTTTCCAAGCATGCACAGTGCACACCTCCTTTTATTTCTCATTGAAATGTCTGTTATTTGACATTTAATTTTTGGAATTTGTGAATAAACTTAAAGACTGTATTTTCGAATTCTTGAGATAAATTGTATTACTCAAGGCTTCCGATTTTCAAACAACAACTTCTATTTTCTATTTTCCACTGTAAATTGTTATGAGGGAAATTTTTTTTGAAGTTTTCGACGTATTAGAATGGCAATTTTAATGAGTAGTTTATTAGTTGAGAATGTCAGTGACTGAAGTATAGTAAATGCATTAATTTATCACAATAGCAATTTGAAAAAATGGTCCAAGTACTACGTAAATAAAAGATACAATATGGCATATATTCGATATTTTTGTAAAACCATTTTTTTTTTTTTTTTTTATTATTAGTTAAGCATCAACTACATAGGTTATTAGCTTACAGGTGTAAATTTCTACATTAAATATTTATATGCTGTTGTACAATTCAATTTTTTTTAAGTATAAAATTACGCTATGAAAGTTTGAAAATGGACCAATTGCTTCGTACAGGTTGTCTGGGATGTTGAGATCTTTTCTTGCTTCGTTGAAGTTTGGGCAGTAGATGATGATATGTTTGATGGAGTAGTTTGTATTGCATGTTGGGCATAGAGGTGGATCTTTCTTTGCCATAAGATGTCCGTGTGTGAGTTTCGTATGACCGATTCTGAGTCGATTAAGAATTACTTCATTCTTTCTGTTAAGATCAGTGTATTTCGGCCAGAGTTCGACAGAGTGCTTAATTTCTCTTAATTTATTTTCCGTGGTCGTATGCCACTGTGAGTTCCACAGATCAGTACAGTATTTGTTTATATTTCTTTTTATGTCTACGAGTGAGGAAAAAGGAATAATTTCACTGTCAGGACTATTAACTGCATTTCTAGCCGCTTCGTCTGCCATCTCATTTCCCTTTATGGAACAGTGACCTGGGGTCCATATAAATCTGATTTCTTTGGTTGATTTGGAAAGAAGAAAACCATTTTTAAGGACTATATAATACTAAATATAAATATTTCGATGACTGAAAAAACTACACTTTAAAATATTAGATTAAGTGGTTAGTTCAGCATTTTTAAAACAATTATGCATCAAATAATTTACAGTTCTCATTTGAAAAAAAAAACTGGAGTTCGTATCTTCGACACTTCTTAAGTAAGTTCAAAAATCAGAATTTTAACAACATTGTTGAAGAAAAATGGAGATGGACAAGCACAGTGAATCGCCTTTCATAATTTTACTGTGTTCTTATTTATATTTTGATGTCATAAATACCAAATTCCACACATTTTCATAAGCTGAACCCGATTTCTCAGCCTCATCCAGGGCCAGAAAAAGGGGTTGAAAATCGATGGATCAGAGAGTGTATTTTTTGTTTTTGTTGTGTATTTCGGTAAACATTAGGACTTCTAATACACTAGTTAAACGCGATTCATCAGTTGCGCATAAAAAAAAAAAAATAAGATATTATATTATTTTAACTCAACAATTAGTTATTAGTCAAGAAAAATCACCAAAACGCCGATTCTGAATAACCACATTATTGGGAAAGAAAAAAAAGGGGTGACCGTGTTCTGCGTATCACCCTGTATATATTACACGATTTTCTCAGGTGCGTTTGTATAAATATGCCTCTATTGCTCTGTACTGAGATTATAGCTCGTGGACTGCAGCTGCAGGGATTCGCGAAAATAAAAATAAAAATGCGCTCGGCGAAATAGCCCGCTGCGACGTCAAAATCCTTTGGGAATCTAAAACAATAGAGCTTTTATGAAACGGGGCATTTAATGCAGCCGTTTAATGGCACCGTCTTTATTCAGGCTTTACTACTTTTTATTGTCCAATTTGTACTCTGGTGTATTGTTATAGTCGCGTTTAACTTTTACTTTAAATTAAACGCTGGATTCTCAGATGTCTTATTAAAAACGTACACACTACCTAATAAAAGAACATGTCCGTCGTAATTTTACTCAAATATTCATTGTACGCATGCGTACCCCGTGCGGTAGACAGCGTTGAACACTAACGAACACGGACCTACGCAGTTTATAGTCATTTTAAAGGTTTAGATAGAGCACTATTTTTTCATAGTCTGAAGGTAGATAACTCAATAGTGCATTCGTCTTATCACGAGTATCGCGAGTCGATGAAAATAATTTAATTGAGTAAATAATGTTCATCCAGCTCGAAAAAAATAAAATAAATTTTACTATAAATGCATGAAGTAAGGTAGTACGGAGAAAAAATTAACCAATTTTTTTTTTACATCATCTTGGTCACAGATATTATGTAGGTTCTGCTGTTATTGTGCAACATTTTTTTTCTTTTTTTTTTCCAAAGGTAATAACATTTTTCCGGCCTTGAAAAGCATTTGAGTAAATGTGTTTAAATACGTATTGTATTGCACGTTAACCACGTAGTTATTTTTATCAACGATTTTAATATCTCATTGAAATAGTTATACGCCAATAGATGACATAACGATGAATGCGACGCCATCGATTATCGTGCATTTTTGTTTTTATATTTTCTGTGATTCTAGCGATTCAACGTTCGTCTGTGGCAGATAATTTATTACACTGCCTAGTCTTGATTGAATCTAAAAGAGCGAATAAAAATAAATTCGAATCGTGTGTTTTTTTTTTTTTTTTTGTTTGAGCTGTTTATCGCCTCGAACACGACTTGAAAACACTTCGAAGGGCGAGAAAACAATTCGAGCTATAGAGATTTTCGAATTATCGTCGTTCGAGTTACTCGGCGTTTCAAAAGGTCTACTGCTGCTTGCACTCAAATCGCGTACGGAAAACTCACGGAATTTAGAGACAATTTATGCGACGCTTAGGACATAATATAATAATATATAGTACCCACTCGTATTATTTTATTTCAATCGCATATGTGAATTAAACCGATCGGTTTCGAATCGGTGCAGTCTGCACTCACCGGTCAACCGAGGTATATTCGCGGTATATTATTGTTGTATAATCGTATGCGTGCTAAGCATTTGACGGTGGTAGTGAAATCCGACGGATTCCATCTCACACATGTTTCGTCTGACCTAGAAGTGAACCGCGGTTTCGTACCTCGGCGAGTTCGGAAGATAACATTATGATAAAATATAATACCGGTGGGTGTTCGCAGCACCCGTACAGGCAAACGGAATATTATGTATAATAATAATGCGGCGAAGACGGGTGAAAAATGAATTTACGAGATCAATTTATTTTCGGATATTACTCGATTTATTCTTGTCAAATGTACTTCTTCTCGCGCGCGGTGTTGTCCGACGCTTTATCAACATTTTTTTTTTTTTTTTTTGTTTTTTTTTTTTTTTGGGGGGGGGGGTTCTGACGGTTATATCAGTCAACCGCGAGAATATAATAACGCCGGACTTTTCGGCCCCGGGCCTGTGCCTATATATTGACTGATTTGACTGACTATATATATATATATATATATAGCGCAGTATACTGCGAAGTGGAAAAGTACACTCTACCGTGTTCTCCGCACCGTTCCTGTGTCCTACACCTGCAGCCGCAGTGATTGAAGTCTGTCATCGGATTTCGTGGGCGTGACACCGATTTTCCCGAAAATTGATATCGCGTTCGGGCACAAGACACGAGTCGTACCGGCTGCTGATAGCATTCCAATTTTCGCTTGGATTTCTAATATTCAAATTGCTCACTGAAAAGTATTTCCGTACGCACCGAAATATGGTTCTTGCGAAATAATGTGTGCGCTTCGCAAGTTTGGAAGGGAAATGACAAATAAATCAAGACAAATTAAAATCTGCGAGTAAATGTCGGAGAAACTTGTCTAAAAAAGAAAATAACATTAAATTGCATACAATAATAAATTAGGATGTTACGCGGTTTGCGGAAAAACAAACATTTATTCATAAAATATAAAATAAATTAAAAATACTTATAAATTGGGAAAATATTTTAATAAATTAATCACATATAAAAATAAGCGGAAGGGATCAGATATTAAAAATATACACACTGCAGTCTATGGTATATATACACCAACATGTTTTAACTAAGAAAATTGTTTATCTTATCAGTAAATAATATGTTTGCATTCTACACATATTTCTAAATAGCAATATAGAATTCACGACGATGAATAAAAGTGATATACTTTTTTTGACCTGTATAAAACACATATTAAAACTTATATTCAGGTTTAGTTATTTTCGTGTTTATATATATATATATATATGTATGTATATCGATTCGAAAAACAAAATAATTAAGTGATTAAAAAGCTAAATTATTGAGCAATTTTATGCCAAACTTAGGAAAATGTTGTGATATAATGCGCAAAATGAAATTTATATATTTTAATCAAGACAATATAAAATCATAACAGCTAGGTTCTTATCCTTATTATAGTTATCAGTCATATAGTCGCTGCTTTGGTAATTTTTTCATTTAATTTACGGAATTTCGCAAAACGTTCTGCATAGTCTTGCAATGATCATTGTTTCCCCAAAATGCTAAAAATTTCAATATCAATAATCGTGATAATAACCGTTTAGGTTTACCGTTTTGAAAATTATATGTCGCAGCTAATTCTAAATAAAAAGTACAAAAGTGTCATGTTCCGACCACCCCACCACTCATATTTTTGTTAGTTTTTATATTATACATTGAATAATTGAAGTATCAAATAAAAGTCATGTATAGAGATTCCTAACGAATCTGTCTGTGTTTTCTTGGTACCCCCCCCCCCTCCCCGGTGTATCCGATAATTTATTTATAATTGAAGAGAGTTCTGACCTTTCATGGATTTTAAGATTGTACATGTAATGCTATCCCTTCAAAATTGAAAATTCAATCCATCCTGCAGCTATTAAACTGAAATAAATATATTATTCTTTTACGGTTTTTATTTTTTTTTTCCTTAACGCCGTCGTCCGATTCCGTGTATATTATTGTACGCTGTACACAATATTGTTGGCCTTGGATTATGTATGACAGGTATATCTATACATCGTTTATTATGCGACAATGTTTCGATTTTTTCCCTTTGAACGGTGGACGCCGTTTCCATTATCGTACCACTTTAAAATATAACTCGGGACTGAACAGCTAAAAAATAATAGCTTCCACGCAGTGTAATATACGTTTTTTGTGTCTTTGATACCGTTCAAACTGTCCACACTGCCATTGCTTTTATTACAAAATACGATGCCATTCCAAAAAGCTCTTTTCTAATAATAGAATTTATTATATCTTATAATTATGTTATACCATAATATGATCTTAAAACGTAAGTATTCGACTAATAACAGGTGGTCGAAAATAATAAACCGGGGAACCTTTTTGTTCCATTCGAAAATTATCCTACCTAGTCAATTATTTAATAAATTAAGGAAATAATTTTTTTTTTTGTGGGGGATGGCTGCAGGGATATATATTTTATTATGTTCAAAAAATGCAAAAAATTAGAAAAAAGAATAAACAATTTTTTATTCTACAACTCTACACAGAACAAAAATATCTTGAAAATAATTTAATTATCTCAAGAAAATTGTTATCATTATTTATTAGTAATGATTATGACTCGATTAAATAAGTATGATTTATTTAAACACATATTAGTATACCTGGTACATATTCATTATTTTCTAGTCACAAATGTGTTTTATTTGTCTCTAATAAATAATAACTATGCTCGAAATTTGCAAATGGACTTCTGAATTTCATATAGGTACCTAAGTATTTTCAATATTTTAATTTTTCAATCGAAATATTTGACTTGAAATTTTACAATCGAAACATTTAAAAATAGAAAATATCACTTATCCTGATATTTCAATGTAATTATAAAAAAATATATTTAAAAAAAAAACGTATTCGGTATCATATGTATTATTGATAACATAAAATATCGACAATGAATGACTTACCAACAAATATTTACGAATCACCATGTTCATAGTTATGAATTAGGTATTTATTATTATTTTAAATTGTATTACATCATTAGTTTTATTTTTATTTTCATAAATTATATATTTCGAAGAAATCAATTTCATGAAATTTTACAACTCTAATTGCAACACAAGGTTATTAGTTTAACAATATTTAAGTTCATTATAGTCGTTGATAGTATATTTTGAATTAATATTTTCAATATTTATTAAATACAATTAAAATAAAAATAACAAAATAGTAATTGTTATTGTGAACCTCAATACCAAACAATTTTAAACTTCAATGCGTATCAAAAGAAAACTTAATTAAAAATAACCGAATTACGGATGACCTAATTAAATATAATAATATAATAATAAATGAGACGAAATAAATAGGGCAACATAAAATAACAACGAATAATCTAATTAGAAAAACTACCAACTATTTGCTACTAAACAACGAGGAGGAAAACTTTCGAATGCAATTATCTGAAAACAATATTCAAATCTGAGTCCTTTTTGGATGATAATATAAGATCCCCTGTATGGCTGAATAATATTGCAAACTACAAATGTGAATAATAATAATAATAATAATGCAGTGCCCCAACCCACGGCCAAGAGTCTCAGTTCACTTCGAACTATTTGTACGATAAATCTATAAATCGATATATTTGTTCTGCTATTTCAGTTCATTTTTCTCGAGGACGAAGACCAGAACGCCGTATCAAAGGGAACGTCAGACTTTACGAACGAAAGGACATCAATGTACAACGATCATTATTTGCAAGGTAAGACATTTAACTTGTATAGGAACAAAGTATACGGTGAGATTATTTTAAAAGAAACACTCGGAAAAGCATTAACGACTGTGGAGTATATACTTTTTTACATCATTTACATAATTTATTTTTGAGAAAAATTGTAATTTTTCCTATTTTTTATCGAAATTTAAGTTTTTACTTTTGTGAATGACAGCAAATATTTTTATTTCCTATTCCAAAATATAATATTTTTCTGAGATATTGCATTTACAAAAGTAGGATTTTATACCTAATAATAAGTAGACATTTAAACCAAAAAAAAATATAAAATATCGTACAACAACATTTTCATGACTTCAAAGTAGGTATGTAAAAAAAATAAAATACAAAAAAAATGGTCCAATAAATTGTATGCTTTTTGAGAAAAAGAGAGTTTACCTTTAAAACAATCACTTTATGTCGTTGTATTATCGTTCTAATATAACGATTACTTTTTTCGACGTGTTTGAAAAATCTGTTTCGATAATATTGATTGATTTTATTTTGTTTTCAAAAATTTTGCGCTGTGCCACGCCGCAACAGAGCCTTTCGGCGGCGGCAGTGTGAACCAAACGCGCAAGAACGCACAGGACGAAAACAAGAACAAACACATATCGTACAACGTCAACACGGTGTTCAACAGCAAAGATTATTTGGTAAGGCTCTGCAGGTCGCCGAAACACAGCGCTAATAATATTATTATAGTTGACGGAAAGGGGGGGAGGAACCGGTCGATTTTCCGCCGTTGAGTTTGCTCGTCGTTTAAAACGTACTTCCGTTTTCCCACAGCAAATGCCGTCGGACCACAGGAACACGGCACACGACGGTGTGGCGAGTCGGACGAGTTTCTACAACAGCGGAAGTCCACAGCAGCAGCAGCAGCAGCAGCAGCAGCAGCGCGAGTCCGTGACGGGAATAAGCGTCGACAGACAATACGACGCCGGTTACAATGGAATGCACGAAGGTGAGAGGCCACCTGGTGGATTCCCACCGGACGGACAACAGTCGTTAGGTACGTCGAGTGATTAAAACGGAAAAACAATAATGATAAATCCCGTGCACTCGCGCGCTCGCGTGCGTTGTCGTGGTTCGGCGTTTCCCGAATATAGTGGGTCGCGACCCACTATACCCGGCCGTCAAAATTCAATACCGGGTCGCAGAATTTAACGAAATTCTCGTTTTTAATTTGTTATTCATCGTTTTCGTTCGATGATTTAAACTGTTGAGTATGAAGAACGACAAGTCGAACAGACGGGAGAGGTGATTCAAATGTGTTTTGTTTTGCCTTTTATTACATAGGTAATGATAAATGTAAAATATTTTGGTGGGTCGCGAAGGTGAAAAATATAAATTACCGGGCCAGCCCAGACAAGAGTTTGGGAAACGTTGTCGTAGAAAAAAAGCGACGGACGCGGACAGTGATCTCGGACGACAGTATTGAAATTATTACACTATTTAGGTGTGTGGACATATTTATATAATACTAGCTGTCCGTTGCCCTTGTATTGTATGGCTTTATAAAAAAATCCCCCTTTCACCCCCCCTAGAGATCTAATTTTGAAAAAAAAAATATTTTCAAACGATTCTAACGATTCTTCTATACACGTGTTATTATTAAAAAATGATTCTACAGTTATAATATTATAATTTGTTTAGTCAACACGTTTGTCGCATAAATAAAGTATTATTATTTTTCGATAACGCGATTCGTGTAATTGAGCTATTCCGTGTTTACCGTACAACTCTTGACTCAATAAAAATATTATGTTGGTTTGTAGTTTAAAATTTCGGCAAGTATTCATCCGTCATAAATATAGCGGTCGCAGCCATTGCTAGGTTCGTCAGTAGACAAATCGACAGTCGTAGTGTCGTGTCGAAACAAAGATCTATTTTATCAATATTATATCTCTTCCAGCTGATCCTAGACTCTATAATATGAGACTCACGTGTGATAACGTGAGCGGTATGTTATCAGGTAGGCTATCAATGTACAGTGGATTGCGTACCCCGCTAGGTGCACACTCTATATGAAAAATATGTTTGATTTCAATTTTATTAACCATTCTCAATTTATACGCAGCCCGACAGCCAAGTCTTAACGATTAATTAATATGTCATACGGACAATTTTATAAGACTATTTTTTTTTTCGTAAAAACCTACTCCTAGCAATTACGAACAATTAAAAAAAATTTTGAGCCAAATCGGCACAGCCGTTCTCAATATCGATGAATTTTTATACGTTTTTGGCTAAATTTTTTAATATATATATAGATTTCTACGACTTACGATGACTTGTGTCTGGTCACATATTAAAACGGTCAAAAACCAGCAGCTTTTAGTGAAGTTAGAGTTTTGTGTGTACCACTAAGATGACATGTTCAAGGCTTGGTGAGTTAACTGTGTTTTTTAACTCGTCGAGTTAAGTTAATGTAGACAAATGTAAATTAAGTTGAAAGTTAAAACTTAAAAGTAAACTTCATTTTTTTTTTGTAACTTGTAAAAGTATGTTTTTTTTAAAGCTCACAAATATTACACAGAGTAATTTCTTAATTTTTTTAAATACATTTATATAAATGTACGGTATTGAACGAAATGTTCGGTTTGAGTTCGATATCACTACGAATTGTTCGGTTTGGGCGGTTTGGCGTACGAAAAAAAGTTTGATTTGAGACTATATTTTTGAATTTGACCCACCTGTAATAATTTTCAATTATGAAGTTTGTGGGAAGCATTAATTCAGGCTACACTATATCATTTACTAGAAATAAAATAAATTACTTGATCAACAACAACATTATTAAACACACTTGGTAATATCGGCGGCCTGTCGTTAGTTCAGAATCGTTTTTGGTAAACTATGTTTTTTTGTCATCGTTGAATTTAAGTTTATCACATCCGTTACAACCCACAAGACACCTTCAGTACAGCTGAGGGGTTGTTACGGGCAATCCTGAGATGTCCGCGCACAAATAAATAACAAACACTTCCGAACTAATTATCACTTTCTATATTTAAATTTGAAAAGAAAACTTACAATAAATTTAATGAATTAATATATTATGTTAATAAATGGTCTGACAATAAAAATGTTCTGGAGAGAATCACAATGTTCTG